GCAGGAAGCCTAGAGGGAAATACAGCTTCTTCACACAGCTGCCTTTTCTCTAGCCTTCAGTGGGAACCTCGGCAATGGCCCTCAGGCTTTAGGTGAATGCATTCAGGTAGTTGGCTTTCCAAAAATGTAGTGTATATAAAGAATACATCACTCTAGTGAACTCAGACTCACCAGCTGAGCATGCCTTTATGCAAGCATGTAACTGCACTATGTATTAATAGAAGAGGAAAATCTGTTTTCTTTCTCCTTCTTACATGTAAGATCTCTGCCTGATCAACAGCTGTAATGCTTGCAAATTTTCAGAGGCCCCTGGCTTAGATATTTGTAATATAACATCACTTTTTAAATATTAGTCTCTGGTTCCGTGCATACTAAACAGGTTACATCTAAAGGAATTCCATCTGGGGAAAAAGGGAGGCAATGTACCATTAGTAACCCAGCTGCAAATCTCAAATTCTCACTTCCATGCATTTACCCAAAAAGGCAGAGAATAAAAATTTGATCTGTAAATAATGAAATATTTCCTTCCATGTGTCAGCTACTCATTGCTCTTGGGTCTGAGTTTCAAACAGCCATGACAGCCATGGTAGATATTATTTCTTCCTTGCTCCTCTCACCAGCTTTCTTGGCTTCATCTGCATGGCATCAAAGTCTTTAATGTCTTACTCCTAAATCACCTCCACGTAATGGGAGGACAGACAGAAACAGCAGCACTGAAAAACGGAATGGCAATGACAGGGTGCTTTGTTCTTTTTTTTTTAGATGAAATGTGCCATCCATTCCCAATCCTCCTGTTGTCTGATTATTGTTTTTCAATTTTTTGCCATTGTAATTTTGATGAATGATTTATGCCTTTTATGAGATGATGATACAAGAAAACCTTTTTTGCTTTGTTTCCTCTCTCATTTACTGTCAAAATGAGGTTTGGGTATTTTTTTTTAATATGTCCTGGATTAACTAAATTTATTAAATTAAAAATTACTTTGAATGTAAGCTTTAGTAAAATAAAGACTTTGAGATTTCAAATTCAACATATTACTGGTATGAAAATGTCTTTTATCTAGTACTTAATGGGTGCTAATCTACACTATATCCATGAGATTTAGATTTATACCAGTGTAGTCAATAGCCAGACAGGAATCAGTGGTCATTGGTATGTAGCATGTGAAGTATTTGGGTCACAGGATTTTGCAGCATTATATTCTTGGAATAAAAACATAAGTGGGATAACAATGATGGACGAGAATGCAATCTCTGTCAAGAGGTAGCAAGCAGTTTTTGTGGCTTCAGGGCCAGATTAAAGGACTGATAACAGAGGCATCCTTGCCTGGTGTTCCTGCTGCTTTAATAGGTCTGAAAATAAGGCTGTTACATAAAAGTGATATGAGGGCTTTGGTTTCACTTGTTAGCTATAGGTAATAATCCCTTAAATATTTGGCCTTCATAAAAACTAAAAATAGTTTTATGTAGCTAGAATTTACAATTTATTTATTTATTTATTTTTCCTCCTAAGCATATTGAAATGCTAGTACAGACCTTTCTCTGTCCAAGCCTACTGACTACAGACTTGTTTTCCCAACTTTTCTTTTGTGAACATCCTGGAAGTAGTCCATGGACCCCCATGGATTCCCAGCTGACAGTCAAGAACACATTTCTAGAGCAAATGCTAAATCAAATTTATTTTTACATAGCATAAAATTGCAAAGCACGGCTTCAGTGCTTGATACTCACTTAAGCACCATGAAGTATTCTTTTATTTTCATTAACCATCTCTCATTTTTCTAAGCCTAATCTTCACAGAATTCATTTTAACGGCTGTGTATTTTGGTTTTTTTTGTTTTGTTTAATGTTGGGCTTTTCTTTTTATTCTTAGCCTTAAGGCAGTTTTCATTCCAAGTGACCTAAGGCAGCCATGTGCTTCTAAACAACTGGGATAAAAGGTGCAAGCTGTGGGTGTAGAGGGAGTGCCCCTACCCAGAGTCTACTCGCCAGCTTGCAAAGAGAGTCTGTTTGGGGACAGTGCAATGAATGCATTTATCTGTGCAGATGCTTGGGGATTTTTAAGCTAGAGTATGCTTCTTTGTGCCTTTGGTTTGAGAGGGTGCTTGTGTCCTGCTTGAGTTCCACCAGTGGGCAGAAGCAAGGGCTCAGGCCAGGGAGGCTGCAAAGCATCTTCCTCAGATGGAGCTTGATGTCTGATCTGGATGCATTTGGAGTTCACTGTACCATGTCTTTCTTTATAGTAAATATTGTACTGGTTCTGTAATACTGTGGGGAGTAGTTTTCTCGTTCTGGTGTTGTGCCATCCGCAGTACTAGATACTAAGGAATGTTTCACATTGTATCCATTGCATCCCCAGAAAAAAATACAATGGATTCTCAAATTGCTGCTGAAAGCTACCCAGGCTTTTCTTCCGTCTCTGTTCCCCTGTTTTCAGCTGGTTTAAATCCTGAGAACATCTCAGCATTGTAAGAAATAAAAGGTTTTGGCAGCTGAAGAGCCATAATTCATTGAAAGAAAGGGAGTGAATATGATGGTGGGGAGCCTGGCTGCCCAGGCACTTGCAACTTGGGCTAGGTTGGGTTAGCTGCTCAGCTGTCTTACAGGAACTGAATTGTTGCAAGAACTGCCAGGAGTAATTTCTGTCTTCTCTGTGTCCTCTGTGGGGCTGGAAAGAGCAAGAAAACAGGATTGCTGGTTTTGATGGAGGAGGAAGTGGGGTGTGATTGGAGGTTTTATTTGGTTTCTGAATTTTACTAAGTTTGCTCCTGACACGGACAGAAGAGGGAAATGGTCTAGGGAATAAACTGATCAGTAAGTTCGTATTTTTATTTAACACAAAAAATTCTGGGCGTGGATGTGTGATGCTTCTGTTCCCATGCAGACTACTTTTCATTCACTAACTTTGCAAACTCAGGCTGTTTCTCACCTCTTGCCAAATGCGATTTCCATTGTTAGGAAATTCCTGCATGTAGGTCTTCAAATTTTTTTTCCCGCAACTTGGCACTGGGTAACATTTACTGCCTCTGATATCTTTTGAATATTGTGTGGCTTTTCTATACTCATGGTCAGCCACCTGCATTTCCTCTTCAAAATGTTTTGTTTTTTCCTGCCTGATATTGATGAGTGGCCTCTTTTGTATCATGCTTGTGTCTGAAAGTGAAGTGGGGTGAAGTGGCTTGGTCCATTGTGGCAGCTGGATCAAGAGCAGGATATTTGTCTCGTGACAGGGAGTTGTTTTCCTATACGGAAACAGTCTCAGCTGTGTCTTAATTACAATACCACCTACACACCTACCACAGTACTTCATGACTTCCTTTGAGGACATCTTTTAAAGGAATTAAGTCATTTGATGGTGACCAGCCATCACCTCGAATTTCTGCTTTGGGCTGCAGCCAGTTCCAGGCAGACCATGTGAACCAACAGCAGATGAGAGCAGGCCTTTTGTAAACTTATCTTAAAATCAGGGCTCTTTCCCACACACACACATAGGGGGAAAAGTGGCCATACAAGGAGTAGACTTTGACCAACTATCATGTTGTTTTCCTTTTCCTCTGTAGAAGAAAACCCCAGGGTAACATTTTAGTTTAGAGCTGTCCAGAGATGTGTAAGGTACCCTTGGTGCAAAGATCTTTTTACTCTGACATACAGTAATAATCAGGATGGCCTCTCTGCTTTCCATGAAGAATAATTTTTTATTGCAGATAAAACTGAAGAGCAGTTTTTTGTTGTGAAGAACCTCAAAACAGGAATCTCTTGGCACAAACCTCTTAAAAAGAAGTCACAGATGTTTTCAACAGTATTTTTTAGACCTCTGGGAAGAAAATTTACCTTGGAAAGTCAGACATGAGTTTTTGCATACAGATAGGAGTTACCCCATACACATTTTGGTACTTGCTTTAGAAAAACTTCAGTGAATGTGGGGTAGAATAAAATGAGCAATCAATGCCATGCAGTAATAAGTAAGGTGGAAACATTTGGGGTTCAGAGTAGCAGGTTTGGGTGCTTATATGAGATACAGAACAGATGCATTTTGGTATAACATTTTTTGGCGTTTGGGGTTTTTTTACTTAAAAGTCCATTTAAAACTGTTGCACTTTCTTCAACAAGTTGTCACAAACAGGCATTCACAGAAATGCTGGTAAAAGTAATAGCAGTAATAGTGGCAGGTACCTTCTCAGTCATCAAAGATACATGGCTCTCATAAGGAAGTTTATTCTCTGTTAGGAAAGCACAAGCTGCTGTGGAGGAAGGCAGTTTCTAGTATTTTGAAGCCTGAATTGTCAATTTAAAAGATGTTTGATACCTTGTTCTATTTTCATCCCATTTTAGCAGAATCTCTCTTTAGTGGGGAAATACTTGCAGACATAAAAATGTGGTGCCAGTTACAAGAAACCAAATTTTTAAGCCTGTTGAAGCTGCAGTTAAATTTTAGGAGAGACATGTTCATTTAGGAATTGGTGCATCATGCTGCCTGATCTGGCTGGAAATGTGATAATCCTTAATCAATAGCACTGATTTAGAAACATTTGTATTCTGTAGTCCCAGTTGTTTGTTCTAATTTCTGAAGAGTTTTGTGACATTTGGCTCAATTAACCTTTGAGATAGTTTTTGATACATATTCTTGTTCATTCCCATTTGAGATCAAATGAACAGGCTGCACACGACAGCCTATAGATTTGTATATTTGAGATCTTGACAGAGCGTTTCAGTCCTGGGATTTGCTGCTTCTTTTTACAGAAGCTCTGAAAAGTGTATTTGCAAATCCTCTTTATTCATTCATGCATTTAATAAGATGAAGTGCGGCCTTGGATTGTTTTTTTTTAATGCTGTAATTTTTACAAATTTGTATAACAACGTAGATGAATGCAGGGCATAATCTGAAAATATAAACTTCAGTGTGCCATCAACAACTTAAAAAATAGAAGTGAAAATAAAGAGACTGCTGTGCTGGAGAACTGTTATCTTTTTAACCATTCCCTCTTATCTTTTTTTTCCAGAGAACAGATTTGACTTCTGATAAAGATTTATACCTTGACAACAGCTCTGTTGAAGAAGCATCAGGCGTCTATCCAATTGATGATGATGATTATTCTTCTGGGTCAGGTTCAGGTGAGACAACATGTCACAAATTGATTTTAAAAAGTGTAAGAAGTAATGCAATTATTTGAGGAAAAGCTATGCAGCTTTCCTTTATAAGCTGGAGATGATACTTTCAGTGAATATCATGAGTGCTGGGCTCTCTCTTTGCAGAGCACTGAGCACTCCTGCGGGCTAGGTTTTAAGTGTTAACTTTCTACTCTTTTCTCTTATGCCTTAGTTGCATCACTTCACTGTGTTATTTTCTCTCTGCTGGGTCTCTTCTTTCCCTCTGGTTTCTGTTAGATCTCTCTGGAGTTCAGTAATAAGGATTAGGCAAGGCTTAGTTCTCCCATGACATAATGCTAATTTAGCACTCTGTTAGAAAACATAGCAGCAGCAATCTTGTTTTCTCTTATATGCAGTCAAGTTCATGTAAACATGGTGTCCATTTCTCTTTTGTTGTTGTCCTTTTAACTTTAGGAGTCTAGATACTACCAAAAATACATGAGTTTTCCTTGAAGTAATTACATGCATGTAGTGAATAAAGAAATTCTTAAATATAACACACTGATTTCTCAGACTTAAACACTCATTAGAGGCATGTAGCTAACTGAAAAATTTTCCAAAAGGCTGTCAGTGAAACCTCAATAATCATTTCTCTTAGAAAGCCTGTTTGAGGAGTATCTTCTAGACTAGCTTGGTGGCTCCAACCATTAAAAGCTAAGTGAAGGATTTTGTGGTAGTTTTGGAGAAAGACATTTCCTTATTGTTGTGAGTTTTTGTTGAGCTGTTGTGGAAATCCCATTTATTTTCCAAGTATGTTACTTATTTTTTGTAATTGTACTTTTTGTAATGTGTCTTTTGATGTTTATACATACTTGTGTGCTTTTAAAGGATGAGCCCTTCTTCTAGCACCTTGTCTATGTTACCTTGTAAGCCACACTTGAGATTTTTTCGGATGGATTTGTGGTTTTCCTTTCTTTTGCTGATTCAAATATATGTTAAAATTAAGTCTGCAGAGGTCTGATTATGCTGCCAGGCAAATCCAGGACCATGGTCATTGGTATCTGGGTGATACCTGGTCCTCTGTAGGGGCAATTTGACATTCCAGTGAGATCAGAGGCTTAATTGGACCTCCTTGCTGTAGACTTCTTCAAGGAGAAATTTATTTTTTCATTAAAAAAAAAAATTAATGAATCAGTGATTTCATTCAGTTCCTAGCACTTCCTAAGAAAATTAGTTCTGACCTCCAGGAAAAATGTGCTTTCAGTCAACATCCCATTCTGTCATGTCTTCAGGTGCTGGTGACTTCGTAAGCTTCAGGAAAGGAGATATGTTGATAATAAATAGTTGTATGAAGAATGGTCTGTTTTAGGGTTTTTTCCATCCTTCTGTGGAGTTTGGCTGTTTCTGATGTGGATAATTCAAAATACAGCCCTGCTTTTGAAGTGGGCTGTAGAAAAGACTACACAAGAACTGGCTTCAGATTTTATTAACCCAAGGTTTATCGAGGGCAAGTGTAGGGTACTACACCTGGTACTACACTTAAGGAATCACCTGAAGTACCAGTACAGGTTGGGGCTGACCCACTGGAGAGCAGTTCTACTGAGAACGACCTGGGAGTCTGGGTGGATGACAAGTTGACCATGAGCTGGCAGTGCCCCTGCGGCCCGGAGGGTCCATGGTATCCTGGGGTGCATCGGGAAGAGTGCGGCCAGCAGGCTGAGGGAGGTGATCCTGCCCCTCTACGTGGCCCTAGTGAGGCCACATCTGGAGTACTTTGTCTACTTCTGGGCTCCTCAGTTCAAGAAAGACAAGGAGCTACTGGAGACGGTCCAGCATAGGGCACAAAGATGACAAGGGCACTGGAGCACCTGCCTTATGAAGAGAGAATGTGGGTGCTGTGTCTGTTTGATCTAAAGAAAAGACAGAGGGGAATCTTATTAATTCATTTAAATATCTCGTAGGTGGGTGCTCAGAGGATGGTGCCAGACTCTTTTCAGTGGTGTCCAGCAACAGGATGAGGAGCAATGGCCATAAACTAAAACAGGAGAAGTTCCACCTCAATATGAGGAAGAAATTCTTTACATTGAAGCTAGCATAGCACTGAACAAGGTTGCCCAGGGAGGTCATGGAGTCTCCCTCTCTAGACACATTCAAAACCCACCTGGACACGTTCCTGTGTATCCTGCTCTAGGTGACCCTGCCTTAGCAGGGGCGTTGGACTGGATGATCTCCAGAGGTCCCTTCCAACCCTAACCATTCTGTGATCTCTGTAGTAAAAGTGGAGTCGAAAGGACAGAATCTAGCTCTAGACTAGCTGGACTACTAGCTCTTGGCTTGCTTTTGTTTCTTTTCCTGTGCTCAGCTGTGAGCCATGGGTGGAAGATGGAGTGTATAGCAGGCACTTTTGCTGTCTCTGGTGATCTCTGGTTTTTTCCTACAGGAAAACAGGAAAAGTCTCATTGTAGACTGAAACAAGCTGGGTGCAGAGAACTCATGTGACAGTACCCAGATCTAATATTTTTGAACAAAGCAAGAAGTCTTTAGTTCAGTTAAGCAAAGTAGCATCCCCTCCACCCTACTCATCCTATGCTTACTACTGTCTCTGTTTTATGTGGAAAGTGTCCTGCAGATGTACCATTGATCAATTTTTCTCATATTCAGTCTGTCTCTCTTTATTGTGATACTCAGTGATGTAGTGTTTCTAACAGAAAGAACCTTTCCACTCAAGAGTGGTTTTCTTGCTATGTAATTCCAGTCCAAGCAAACTTGATCCAGCAAAAGATCCAGGATGACAACATGCTGACTGCTTTCCTTGCTATGAAAATTGTTAGCTGCTACCAGGCCTGTGGAGATTAACAGGAATTGTCAGCACCACTATTATTGCCCTTGCAGGTCTTCAAGCAGCATTAACGTGGACAAATGTCACTGCAGGCATGACACATTTCAGACTAGAAACTGGCTTTCTGTAAGACATAACAAAGGTGATGGTGTTCTGGTTTTTTCTTTTCTTTCCCTTCATAGCCTCTTTAGTCTCCATGTACATTCAGTTACTGTTGTGGCTTTGCCCAACTGTTCAGTCCAAATCCATTGGTCAACAATTTGCAAAGGAGCCATGCCTTCTTCCTCATTGTCCTATATCAACAGTAGAATATCCGTAGTGAATTCATTAGTCTGTTGTTTTGTTCTTGCAATCTACATCTCCGAGGAAGTGCTTCAGTCTATTGTCACTCTTTTTTTAGTGTTGGTGTTTTATATAGGATAACAGTAAAAAGTAAAAATAGTTTTCCTGCCTATATACAACTTGAAATACTTTTATAACTACTGCTACTTTTTTCTCTAGCATAAAAGATTTTCACTGAGCCTTGACCTTGGAGATAAGTGCAAGTAGCTGCTAAGAAGTGTGACTACCCTTATGTTAAGGAAAGGTAGCATCACTGCAAGATTTATCTGCAAGTTCTTTGGAAGACGGCCTGTGTTGTTCTTGTGTCTTCTCTTAAGTTACTCATGGTAAATACATACAATATATATATATAGGAAAATCATGCAATTTTTTCCTTCACTTTCTTGTCTTCCCCACCGCGATATTTCTCAGCAGCTCAAGTTGAGAAGGTTAGCTCAGGATGAACTAGCTGTAGACTGACTGGGGACTGTTCTTGGAGGAAAGCTGTGGTGATAGGATTGGAGTTTCTCAGGCAACACAAGAGCAGATCTGCTTTGGCTCTTGACCTAAAGGGAAACTGATGGGGGTGACATGGCTGGGGGGGTTGAATGGACAGGGACTGTGAGGCTGGGGAAGGGGAGGGCACAGGCGCTCTCCCAGGTGCTGAACAGGAACCATCATGGGTCCGTGGCCAACCCTGGATGCCCGTGGCCTGTATGGCAGTGTGTCTGGCAGGCATTCCAGCTGGGGCCACACACTGTCTCTGCTGTGCTTCCTCTCATGGTGCACACAACACAGAAAGTATTCATTTTCCCTTTCCCAAGGTCCCACTCATAAGTGCCTTTCACATTGTCTTGTAGCAAGCGCTTTCTCTGTCCACTTGCTAAACCAGCGCAAGCATGCTTCATGACATTGACTGCATGCTTGTCCAGGTCCTCTGACATAAAAGGTTTTTTTGGGTTTTTTTCCCTCCTTGGGTGAGAGTTATCAGAGACATCCTTGCACTATCTCCAGTTCTTTCAGCTGCAGTTCCCTGACAGGGCACTAGTATTACATTTTTAGTGGCATCTCTGGGTGCCTAACACTGTGTTGATTAGAATTGCATTGGGGACTTTGCAGTGAATGGGAATGAGGTAAGCCAGCTAAAAATGTGTCATTCTGGTGTGTGTCACATCACTGATAAAGATTGAAGGTGTGAAAGAGCTGGTGGTTATGTGTGTGCTCACCTTATCACTAATTTGCTTATGGTGGTAGTACTCCCAGAGTGTGATGTGCAACAGCAGACAAATATGATGCCAAAAGATGGGGAGAAATGATTGGATTTGTTTGGTAGGAAGTGTTAATCACTGGCTGCTTTGCAAGTAGAAGTGCTAACTACTGTGGGCTTTCTTTTTTCTACAACTATCTACACAGTAATTTCTACTTTCTATGCAGTAATTTAAGCTGGCACAAACTTGATTTTCTGACAAGTTTCCTCAAGCACTGAGCGTGTTAGAGAGTATTCACGTTCCTGTCATCCAAGGGGCAGCTAATAGACACATCACTGAGGGTTATATTGGATATTTCCAATAGAACAGCACGATTTAGAGCTATTTTCACTATGAAGACAGCAGTTGGGCATCCTGAAGAAGTTACAGTGGATAAAAGATGATGTGTGATGATCGAGAGCTCTCAGCTCTCTTCCACAGAGATCCCTGTGGGTTTAATTACTACAGAGGTTTTGTGGTGCCCTCACTAAGAAGGCAGTATCTATTTGTAGGGGGACTCAAGGCAGTGAATACCCAGCACCATCACCCAAGCTGGCCAAATCTAGAAACCACATATAGAAACTAATATTTTCAAGAGGAAGAAGTAAGCTCTTATACTCCAACCACTTCACGGTGTTCTTCTTAACAACCTAGGTGGAAGTTACATTCCTGACACTGTAAGTGTTTTCTTTGCAATCTTATTTGGATTCAGTGAGGGAAGTGGTTCTCTTTTTTGTGCATTTTAGGGAACATGATACTATGTCAAATGCTGTTGCTGTGTTCTGGAGAGGATTAGTGAGAGGTTTTTTGATCCTTCAGTCTTATTTACAGGTAATTCTGAGAATACTACTGTCAGTTTAGCAAGGGCAATGTGTTCCCTTTGTTTAGATGTACTCCGTGCCAATCAGAGGACTGTCTAGATAAAGCTAATTGGAAGGCAGGAACCATGGGGATGTGTGTGAGCCAGTAACTGAGTCAGGCCTAAACGGTAGGTGCTTCAATGTTTTTGGGATTGTCAGAATTCCCCTGAGACCATATGCAAGAGGATTTGGGTACCTTTGGTGGTAATCTAGTGACTAGTCCCAGAGTTAGATCAGTCACCCATTTGTTGAGAGACAGTGGATCTGCATCTTCCTTAGACAAAGAAATTCAGACCTGCAGTGCTTACCATTTTATTTGGCAGACACAACTATTGCCTGAAGCAAAGGTGGCGTTTAAGGATTTGGAGGAGCAGTTTTGATTAAATGGGACTTTTCGTTTCATAAAAAGAAGAAAATAAATTTCTGTACTCTTAAAGTGGGTTTTATCAAATCTCAGATCTGATCATCAATTTGAATTTCCTTGAATGTGAAAGCCTTGTGTAGTATGGAGGAACGTTGGAAGGTAAAGCAGGCTGAGCTACCCATTGGGCCATTATTTCTCAAAGAAACCTCTTAAGTCAAAGCCAGAAAAAAAATTCCTGTTGGATACCTTTCCTCACCTCTGTTTTGAAGCAGGATGTTGATTTTTTGACCTTTGAGTAGCATTTCAGGGAAATACCTGATTCTTGTTATAAGGTCTTCATTCTGAAGGTTGTGCTGTAATTTTGGTACATCTTTGGTTTTTTTGGTACATCTGAAGGTTTTTTCCAGTATTATTCTGTGCCAGTATCTTTAATTACTTTTTTTAATGATTCTAAATTTTATTTTCTACCATACAAAGGTTGTTTTGGTTATTGTCTTGTTATTACCCTGCCTTTCAATGCCAAGTGCATGTAATTCTTGTTCGTGAGTTCAAAACATCATTATTGCGCTCATATTTTCAGCCTGTTTTCTTTCTCTGAGAAAATAAGTTAAAAAATCTGTTTGGAATGAGTGAGTCATACTATTCTGTTGTAAGAGGATATCTTTTTATTTGTTAGGAACTATTCTGATGCACATTTGCTAGATTTATTACCCAATAGTTACTTTGGTAACCAGTGCCTGTAATGAGCAGAACACATTGAGATTCCTAAGGAGTGTCCAAGAATAGGTCAATTCTTTTTCCTCTTTCAGGCCTTGCAATAATTTACTCTCTTTCCTGTGTCTTCTTCCTTTTGCTATCACTAAAGGATATTTATGAGATATGTCCATTATCTTATTCTGAATGAGGCTTCATATTCCAGCAGAGCTTTGAATGTGAAGGAAATGAAATTTAAGGTAATCTTTAGGGAGTTTTTTGTCCTCGAGTACTCATTTCAAAAGAAAAAAGGCTTCTGAATTATGTGGAGTTTAAAACCATGTGAATTCTTAGTGACTGAAACGTAAAGTATATAAGAATCTTCCTTTAGATAGAAACTGATTGGTTTTTTTGTTTGAGGGTTCAACAGATGTGCTGTAGAGGAGAAATTTTGTTGTTGAAGCAGTATGTTACAGGAAAAAACTGTTCAGTTCAAGGTTTAAGTAAGGTTAAAGAATTTTACTGATTTATTTATGATATGTAATTAATTGGCAATTATTGAACTCTACTTTTAGGCTTAATATCAGCAGATAACCATAGATAACCACAATACCTGCCACTTATAAAATGGTAACATGCTACCCCAAATTTCTAAATCACCTTCTGTAACTGATCCAAGTGTGTGCCACATGCACACATACATCTTTCTCACAGGCCCTTATCTGAATGTACTGAATGTACCAAGGAGACATTGGATACCCCCAGCCCCATGTGATCCAGGGCCCCACCACCTCCTGCCACCCCCAGGAGATGACCCTGCACCCCAGGGTGTGGGTTCCAGCAGAACTACCATGGTGACTGTGGGGGAGCTGGAGGTGGCTGCTGGGGGCACCCACAGGGTGGTGAGTGGCACTGAAGAGCCCCAGCAGAGCCCCTGGTGCCACGAGGCCTCATCAAACCCTGGGACAGTGGGGTCTGTTCAGGTCACACCAGGCCTGGACTGCTGCTTCCACTCCAGACTTTCTACCCCTATTACAAGTGTTAATGCTTTTGTTGTATCTCTTTTCAAGATGGGTCCTTCTGTTAGAAAAGTATCATGGTAATTTCCTGATTACTGTTTATTCCAGCTGATGCACTCCCTTCCTTATTCATGGGATCCCTTGCAGCAAATATTGCCCTGGCAGTTTGGGGCACACTGTTTGCACTCACATCTTTATCTTAGCAGGCCCCTTGCTGTGCAAGCACCTCTATGTTGGTGTCATAATAAAAAATATAATTGGTCTGGAAGAATTTCACAGGTCAGTGAAGTGTTATGTTTTGTCTCCAGGTGCTGAAGAAGAGGAGGATAGTGCAGTGATAACAACATCCAGGACGCTTCCAAAGTTACCAACTACTAGTGATGCATCTAGGACTGAGACCACCACAGTGAAAATGCAGACCAAGGTGCCTGCACAAACAAAGGTGCGTGGGTGGAGAGCAACACCATTTAAAATTACTCCACTGGACCCTACTGATGTCTTGACATTAACACTCTTTTATTTTTATGGATTAAAATACCCCCACAAACTTTACTTAATGCTACTACAGCCTAATGAGTTAAATGAGTACAGAGCTGTTTGGTTTCATTCCTACTAGAAAGTCTGCATAGAAACATCTGGATTTCACATGAAAGAAAAGAGAGATGCAAAAAAGAATATATCATGATACTCAGGACAGTTTCTCATGATACCTTTGAGTCTGAGCTGTATCTTTTTTACATCTCTCAAAGAGGTATTAAAAAAGTTTGCATGAAACTTCCCTTCTCAAAGGAGAATGCTGTGTGGTTTCATTGTAGTTTGAACACTTGCCAGGTTCCATTAAGTATTTCAGTATTTCTTTCTACCACCATAAGTAGTATTGTCCAAGTTACCTTCAAAGGCATTCTGCATATAACATACGTGATATATTAATTTTAGAATTGTTATTTCATTCAGAAGCTGTTATTCTGATAAACACAGGCAATATTAACAGCTGTTTGCTAAATATACCTTTGAAGGTTTTAAACTTAGGGGTAGTGTTTTTCATTCTGATATCCTGATGACAAATAGATCCAGTTACAGTGTCTAGACCAGCTTTCTGTGGTCTAAAAAGCTTCCTATGTGTTGTGTTTGTTGGTATTGTGGAGTATGTGCGTGAAGCCACAGCTACATGACTACCCATGACAGGCAGTGACTGTGCTGACTTGTGGTGTGCCCTCTCTGCAAGCAACGCTCTGTTTTTCTTTTTGTGCCACAGTCACCTGAAGAAATTGATAAAGAGGAAAGATCTGAGGTGGATGCCAAGAAAAAGAGTGATGAGCCAGGGGATGACACCGATGTGTTCACTGAGAAGCATTCAGAAAATCTCTTTCAGAGAACAGAAGTTCTGGCAGGTGAGGCGATGTTTGCCAAGGTCTACCTCACCAGAAATACAACAGAAAACAGAAGGGATTCATATCAAATAATGCAAACCCAACATTTGAGTTTTCTTGGTATATTCATGATATTAAACACTTTAGTACCAAGTACATTCATAGCTGGTAACCAGTGGTTGATTTGAAGAGAATGAAATTGGCATCTTAAGGAGATATTTAGTAGTTAAGATCTGTTGCTAATTGATTCAATGCCCACAAGTTGAATACTGCCATCTGAGTATCTGGAGCTTCCACAGCTCAGAAAAGGAATTACAATTTGATTGATGTTTGCAGTGAAGAAATGTATTTCTCACCTCCCAAGAGCATGTTGCTGTCTGGTCCATCTGGTATAGATGGACACTGCTCATGGCAGGTGTGGGTAGATGGAGAGGGATGGATGAGCACCAACTGTTAGTGTTCAGATACCCCTTAGGATACAGGGGGCCTATTTCCATGTGTTACCCAGGGAGGCAAAAGGTGGCCACCTGTGTTTTCACTACATGTGAGGGTTTTTTTAGTGTAAGAACAGTGTTTACAGGTATACTTTTCCCCCATGTCGTTGGAAGGGGTGTTGGGAGCCATGAAGTCACACAGTTTTGGACCACATCTTCCTATGAGCATCAAAATGTGAAATAGCTTTAAATCCGCATTAGTGGATGCATGTGGGTTTGCTGTTGAAGTCTAGTTCGAGTTTGCACACACTCACAAGTGCATGAAGTGTTCTCTTCTATTATTCATCAATAGGAAATTCATTTCAATCTAGAGTCAGAGTGAAAACTGACAGAGAAAAGGGAAACCCCATTTCTTAGCTAGGGTAACAAAATATTTTTAAAGCTGAAAATGTAATGGTTGAAAAATGAGTTTGAAAGACAACTTTATGCTCTGGCAGTACTAGTGTCTTTCTTAATTGAGGTTTTCAAAAAATTCTAATAACTCTTTTAGAACTGGGGGTTGTTGGATCACTGACTTGTAGGTTGGAATGTCCTTTTAAATGATTGCCTTCATAAACACAAACAATATATTTCAGGATACTAATAATGAAGACAGTTGCATAATGGGAGCCCTTTTCTGCAAATTGAAAATAATAGCAAACTCGTTGTGTGAGGTGAAGAAGAAGCATGGTGCTTAACTTGTTTTTTGGGCATATTGTGAATCTCTGTTTCTTTGATTACAGCTGTTATTGCTGGCGGAGTTATCGGTTTTCTTTTCGCAATCTTCCTTATCCTGCTGCTGGTATATCGCATGAGAAAGAAGGATGAAGGCAGTTACGACCTTGGTGAACGTAAACCATCCTGTGCTGCCTATCAAAAGGCACCTACTAAGGAGTTTTATGCATAAAATTCCAATTTAGTGTCTCTATTTATGAGATCACTGAACTTTTTTAAATAAAGCTTTTGCATAGAATAATGAAGATTTTTTTTTTTTTCATTAAAGAGCCATTATGGCACCTTTATGATAAAACCCCATTGTATTTAAAACTTTTCATGTATTCCTTTAAAAATGTAAAATTAAAACTTAACATTTGCAGTGTTCTGTGAATAACAGTGGCAAAGCATTATTTTATAAAACCATTGATGTTCACTGAATGATTTTTAAAACTTTATGCATAAATATAAAATAATGAAAAATATTGTTTTATCCTATGGTTCAATGAAAGTTGTTTAATTTTTGTCAGCATGTCTCAGATTGATCTTACAAGTTAGTTTTTATTTCATTAATTTATCTGTTTCCAAAAAATGCCTTTTTGTAGTTGTCATGGTGCAATTTGTCTTCAGATAATTCAGATAACAGTAACTTTTAGTGTAAATGTAATTTTTCAGCTATGTAAACTTTAACCTCCACTTTGTATAAATTTAAGTGTCAGATTATCAATTTTACACTTTGCATTGTTTCTCAGCTTACCTGTAGCTTCAGTGAGATTTGTAACAGCAAATTAATGTGTAAAATTGGATTATTACTACAAACTGTATAGTCGTATTCTTACTAAACAAATCTCCTGTAAGGAAGATTTGGAGTAAGCTACTGACGAACCTAAGCAAACCCAAAGACTCTAACAGTATTTTGAGAAGTTGCTGCAGATTTCTATGGCCACTGTATTTGTTAATTATTTGCAATTTGAAGGTACAAGTAGAGGTTTAAATTTTTGTTCTTTAAAAATGCATTTAAGTTGTAAACGTCTTTTAAAGCCTTTGAAGTGCCTATGATTATATGTGACTCGTCGCAGACTGGTGTTAATGAGTATATAACAGTAAAAGAAAATGTTGGTATTTTATAAGCACAGACAATTCTAATGGTAACTTTTGTAGTCTTACATGGATAGACATAATTGTAATTTGGGAACATAAACACTACTGAATAAATCATGTGGCCTAATACTGAGAATTCCATTGTGATATACTTTTGTATGCTTTTCATTTTATGTCTACTTGCTTATGTTCTAATGTCACAGAGTACACCTAGTAGATCTTAAAAATCTAGACCAAAAAAAGAAAGGCTGTTGATCAGAGTGATCCTCACACCAGATTTATTGCTGAAGTGGCAGAGAAAAATAAGAATGTTCAATTCTTGCATCTGGTGTATGAGTTATGAATCATTTGACTTTTGCATTATATTTAATGGCAGTATTGACGCAGACCTGTTCTTCCTGCAAATGTTGTTTTCCCTACTGTAAAATTCAAAGGAATACCCTAGCTCATTTACTGTGTGTATTGGTTTTTGAGTTGTTGTTTGGGTTTGTTTTTTCCCTGGCCCGTTGGAGAATTTTGGTTTATTCTGCTTGGACTCCAGTAGAAGAGTTGAGACAAGTGGAATGTCTTCATAAGAGAAGAAGTTATTATTCCGAGTCGAAGAGAAAAGGTTCTGTTGCTTAGACCTTAGAAGGGTGTTGGATAGAGGGACATGTGGAGAAGACGATAGTCTGCCTCCTTATATTATGCTTTGTAACAGACAAATGGCTTCGTCTTCTGCTCTGTTGACCTCCTAATTTTTTATTTTTGACATTTCCAAAATATAGGTGTTCAGGATGTCAAGCTGAAGTACATCTCAGAAATGGCAATGTATTGTAAATAAGATCTGGTAGCTCTTCAGATAAGAGTTGCGTAATTTGTATTTGTTGCTGTCCCAAGTTCAGTGGTCATTTAGGAACAAACAAATGCTATCCTGTGCTCAGATATTTAATATATTGCTTTTTACTTAACTGGCAAGGTTTCCAAAGCCATACAACTCAGCAAGTAAAAACAGGGTAAGAACTTAACAGGTATATTTTATTGTGCAATATTTAGTGAACTTCAATTAGTAAAATAACTGCTTGAAATAACTGTGCCAAGAAAAGAAGATTTCTGGCAAATGCTGTGCCACTGCTGTAAAATAAAGCATTTGTTAAAGTGCCAAAATAAAGTCTACCATGCCTAAACTAATACTTTATTTGTATAGTCTGACATCCAGTTTTTTGAAGCCCACTTTGCTTAAGGTAGTAGATCTGAATTTCCTTTAAAGGTGCAATTAATATTGCTGCAAATATAGCTATAAATATTAAACACAAGATAAACTGACTCCTTCTTCAAAAGCAAATTGATATTAAGTAGCTGTTTTGATCTTTTTTATATATATGTTAGACTCTGCCTCTATACCTACTGTACAGGCCACTTTATCCTACATAGACATCTGTTGTAATTAAGCAGGCTACCAAATATTACGCTTGTCTGGTTCCTTCTGTATCTGTTTACAAACAGAAGCATTGGTAAAGTTTCAGCTTTATTTCACCATTCACCTTTTTTCTCCTACACATCCGTTATCCACTCTGTTATATGCTTCAGCTTTGTAGATGAACCCAAAATATTCCAGTCCTCCCACCCTCTCTAACAAAAACCTGAAACCTTTTTAACATGCAGTAGGTGTGTTAGTAGCATTTATCATCTCGTGATCTCTTTGCCTTTTTGTTTTCAGTGCCAAACCATACTATTAGGGAAAAATTCTAACAGAGTTGTGGTTATAAACATCAGTTTTCATCAGTCTGAAAACCAGGCTGATGCAGACACTCGGCTTCCAGCAACGCTCTTCAGAAGAACTCGGCAGCTGAATGTGCGTCTCTTATGCTGAGGCTTCCTAGCACAAGTTGGTCTTTGGTTTTCCTTCCCTTTTGTTCTCCCCTTCCTGGATGTGTTTCTAGCAATACTCTGGCTTCTCCTGGATGTTGCTGGGCAGCTGGGAGTCTCAGTGCCAGACTGTGGGTGCTGCGCTGCCTGCCCGCAGCAAGCAATGGCTTCTGTACCGCTGGGAGGGCTTTTCCTAGAGACCCTTGAGTCTGCTGTGCTGGAGCCACTGCAGCAGCTCTGGAATTCCTCAACAACCTGATACGGCATCTCCTTATGATTGATAGGTTCTAGCATTTATGAAAATGCCACTTTGTTTTGATTTATCCTGTGTTATAAATGGTTACTTCCTCTTAGATTCTTAGCAAATGAAGCCAAATGCAAGTAATATAAAGCTGACGTTGAAAGAAGGCTCTTGCCTTGGCTTTATTCATGGCAAAATAACTTCATAAGTTGAGTTCCTGGCTCCTCTGCTTGTCAGCTTTACGAGTGAATTGTAGCTCATGTTTACAGGCTGTATAGTTAGCTTTGCCTTAATTTTGAAATAGGATAAATTAATATAAAAATTGTGCTCTTGTACCCTCTAACAAGAGTAGCATATTTATAACTTTGACTACTTGTTGCTCTTTTTTTTTTCCTTGGAGCTGTGTATGGAAGTGACGGTGGATTGCAATCTTAAATGACAGATGCTGTTTTTAAGCAACATATGGAACACAGGAAACTTTTGTAAGGAAAGAAGTATCCAGATAAACATTAAATAAAAACTATTGGAGTGAGGGAGATGAGGATATTATGCTGAATATTATGTACTTTGCTCAAGTAAGCAAATGAGAAGGGAAAAGGAATCCAAGGGGTAAAGCTCTCTAGGGAAACCATTATTCTTATAGATGGAAATAATATAGCAAGTTTTTTTGTAGGCTTGCAATCAGTTACATTTTTTACTTAGCACTTGCTTAATCAGACTGACATAATTTCCTTTAAGGAAATGTTTATTGTCCACTTTTAATGAGCATAAATATTAATTTTGTTACATTTAAGCTTTTATCTGTGTATCCCAGAGCTCTGAACCTTGGTGTCAAAACTCTGTGCTGTGGACCTTCAGAGTATTGCCTTTCCAAAACTTTCATCAGGCTGAGGAAACGTGACTTTGCTGTACAGTTCATCTGAGAAAAGATACAGCTCGTATACCACTCCCTGGTATGTCTTCTGGTCCTGGGATCGTTCACGGCTGGAGAAGAGCAGTTTTGCTAAGGAGCTGGAGCAGGAGAGGGGGATGCTGACATGTGCATTTCATTTCCTCATGACTCTTGGGCTGACCAGGCACTGGGTTCAGCTGCGTGGGTGGGAGTGGGGGAGCTGTAACCCATCCCTGCCAGTGGAAAAAAGATGCTTGCCGAGATTTCTTCCTCTGTGAAGTAAAGTAAGTTGTATATTTTTTGCTTTGAAAACAAACAAATGATAAAACTTAAGCTCAATAGAGCTAGAAATGGAAATGTGGGCTCCTGTCCTGATCCTTGTGATCCAGTTTCACATGTGCATCGGATGTGCTGAGTAGATGCTTGCGTGGGTGGAAATCTGAAAATCCCTCTGTGTATTTGCAGTATCTGAGCATAGTTTCCAGTGGGGATGGGGCAGGGAAGGGACAGGGCTCATATAGAGCTACAGACATTAATTTGGGGTGAGTGGAAAGAAGGTAGGAAGAGAAACTGTCCTGACAGTCCATGTTTTCTACTAAAAGTTACAAGGCAATTTGTTTTCTTTGAGTTGTTACCTTTGCAAATTTGATCTTAAAAGAGACAATGTGGAGTCAGGAGAGCGAGCAGGTGTTGGTGTCGTACCCTGAGAGGCACTCTTGGTTGCACACAGCTTCCCAGCACATCAGAGATATGTGCTACTTCTTGCACATGTTGACAGTCATAGCTTCTGCTGGCTGCTCTCCCCTGAAATTTTTGCTACAGCAAAATGGATGCAGGACCTGCAGGGTTGACCCTGCACGTCTCACGCTCCCCAAATGAGGTGTTGGGAGAGCAGCAGAAGGCAATAATCAGGGTTCTGCATTGCACTTGGAAGGGTTTGGGTTGTCTTTTGTCCAAAAGGGAGGTGGGAAGAAAGGGATAAGATGTGCAACAGGGGCTTTGCAGTCAGGATGTGCTGTTGCCTATTGAAGCAACTTTTCACTTCTTTTCCATTTCTTTTTCCTTTTGGAAGAGGTCAAGCTTTCACTACCTGTAACTCTTTTAATATCAAATGTTTTTATGGTGTAGCCTGAAGAGCTCTTGAGAGTTTTAATTCGCATTGCAGCTTAAAATCTGTAGATGTAATAGATCTGTAGCATTCTGTAGTTGGACTGGGGCTGAGGGCTTCTGTCTCGCATAGCTGAAAGTCAGGTCCAAAGAATTCCTCCAGCATGGCAGTTCAGCCCTGGCCTGGAGTGAGAGGAAGTAGGAATGCTTGTGAAAAACTTCCAGAAAAATATTGCAAAACCTGTAATAGTTTGTTGAAAATAAACAGAGCCCAAGTTCTCTGTAGGGGGTGGCTTTAATTCATTTAGATTACTTCTGGGGCATTATGCAATTTTTTTTTCCCATGGACTTTTTGTTGATTTGCTGAATGCAAAAGAAGCTTCTGATATTTTTCTATTTTTAATCCAAGTGCTGACGTATAAAGAACAATAACTCCACCAGACAACCTATTTGAAGCTTATCTAGTGGTGGGAAACTAAGCTCCATAGAGGAAAAAGTTCAGTGTCCTAGTTACCCACCCACCTTGTATGGTCATATGTAGTCCTAGAGTGTAAACAAAGTTTGGTGCCCATTTTCCTGAGCTCCTGCAGTGGAACAGGAGCTTTCACTAAACACTGCAGCTCCCCAGAGGATACCAAAGAGAAATGAGAACAGACTTTCTTTTTGATGTTTTTGTGTCATAACCCATAATACTAACGCTCATCTCCTTCCTACTCCCTGTTCTAAATATAGTGGCAGGGAGAAGTCAACAACCATCACACTAAATGGTACTGAAGGAATGTAAACCAGCCCAAAGTTCAGTTTTCATCATTCATCCCTGTAATTTCAATACCACAGAGCTAACAGAAGAGTCTCTTCTGAAAGGAAGAGAAGCAGAGCATGTGCTTCCTTCTGGACCAGCCCTCAGTGCCAGCTGAGTTAATGCTGACATGGCGAAAGTCTCAGATGGTGAAGGGAATGTCTTAACTCTTGCTCAAACCAAAAGGGCTTGAATGAAGGACCTCACCTTGCCCTGGTGCCTCACTGCCAGGCTGGCGGCCGTGCCACT